ATGCACTATAATCTTGCATGCATCTGCAGTTAGAAACTGCCGAATACAGCCGATGTTCCTGTTCTGGTAGTAACAGGATTTGGCAATAGCATTCACTTGTTTCTCCATGTTCAGAGAACTGTCAAAGTACACCCCTAGGTTTTTTACAGCTGGAATAGTCTCAACAGTTCTGGCACCAACCTTGAGCTGGGGAGCCATTGTTTGCTGACACTTTTGAGAAAAGACGATTAGTTCCGTCTTTTCCTGATTAAGTTTAAGCATGTTGGCGTTCATCCAGATACTGTAATCTGTCAGACAATCTTCCAGACTTTCTGAGACTGTATTTCAACTGTCCTATGGTTTTATAACCATGTACATTTGTGTGTCATTAGCATAGCAATGCTAGCGAAAGCTATGGCGAGACAAATCTCTCCAATCGGTTTGGAGTACATACAATATTTTCGTGGTCCTAACACCGACCCTTGAGGAACCCCGAAATCTAGTACTTTGTCATGTGAGGTGGCAGAACCGATGGCAACACACTGTCGTCGTTCACTCAGGTATGACTGTATCTAGCATAGTTCGGTATCAGCCACTCCATAAGAGTATTCCAGACGTTTATAAAGTATGCCATGGTCAAAGACGTCAAATGCAGCTGACAAGAAAGGGAAAGCGCCCGATCTACATCATCATCATTATCTTCATCAATTTCTTTCATTGTGTATATTCCTCTAATTAAAATCACATATCAAATCATCATTTACGTAATAGCATTAGTTTTTTGTTTCATAAGACAAGAAGTTATTCTACAAATGCTTAAAAATACCATCAGAGGTGACTAATGCGGAACCCCCTGCAGAATTGGGAATTTGCTTTTTTACCCTCAATTAGGAAACACAAAAACGAACACAATAAATCTGTTGCACCCATTGCACTATTTGGGATCTTTCTATTTCTTTCTACTTATAACTCTCTTTTATTTCCTAGAGCCTTACTTGGCAACAACTCACTTTTGGTTTTAATGTTAACATTCGCCAAGGTGAGGAAGGCAATGGGTTCTGTCCCCAGGCAGGGACATACCAAAGTCCTTAAAAGTAGTAGATGCTATTCCCTGCTTGACGTTCAACGTTTGGGGTAATAGCAACAACTGGCGCACCCGTTGTCAGTATAATGTGACCGGGCGGAGTGATGTGCTGGGTGCCTTCGGCATGGTATTTTAGAGAGATAGCACCATCACAAGGAGACAAGTTCACCAGCATACCCTGTCTCCGGCACACATACACACATGCACGCTTACACAACACACATCGAGACACAGTCTTAAATGACCATAGATGTTAATAGCATGTTATAAACTTTAATGTTACTGCTGTCGAGGATCCGTTAATCATGAACAAAAAAACTAAAAAAAACTAAACAGGTCATATATTGTCTTTAACTGGTTGGAATAATGTGCTTGGTGCCTTCGGCATGGTATTTCGGTGAGGTAGCATTCTAAGTCGGCATTTGAGTCGCGCTCTCTCAAGGAGGCAAGCACACCAACATGCCTCCAACACACAACCATTGTACACACAAGCACGCATACCCTACACACATAGAGAGTTATTGTTTAATGACCTTAGCTGTTAATAGGACGTGAAACAAAATAATACAAAACTGAGATGACAGCTGATCTGTGCTATCAAAATATTTTAATTGCATATGTATAGCTTGCATTAAATCAGAATATGCAGTTAAAGTTATAAAGTAATAAACAAGGAAGTTGGTTTCGTACTGTTATCTGACGGAATGGGACGTATTCAAATGCGTTCACCTGAAATAATTTAATTACACCATACCATTCCTATAGAATATGATTTAAAACGTTAATGCGTCGTCATGAACTTATCGGGCCGTAACATAAGGTAGAAAGTCTGTTTATACACAGGTACAAGTCTGCAACGATATTGTTTAGATGTTGAAAAGATATACACCGACTTTATTAAACATCTATTTATGAATGCTTATATGTCTCTTATATCCGTGCTGTCAAATAATTATATTGATCGGTACGTAAACTGGGGAGTTGTATAGAATTAAGTGAATTGCAAGTGTGACAAATAAGGAAAAAAAGGAAATGTTTTAGGTAACCCAATCAGAACCCCAATCTTCAGTAGTCATTAGAATGTGTCAAATATTTAAAAAGTAAACTTCCTCTTTTTCGTCATTTAAAACATCTTAAACTTGGTATCGTGTTAATTACGTTAACAGGAAGTATTCTTTGCTAGCGCTTTTAAACATTATGTCGATCACGATGGCAGCTTTTTTACAAGTTCATAATGATATCCAGGTATGTTTTCTTCTTTCAATATATGTGTGACTCCTGACACTATTGATAGAAGTTAATAAATGACCCTCGTACATGCCCATTAAAAAGGTCATTGCTATCAATTAAGCTACACAATATGTTAACTGATGGGTATATCCGCCTTGAATAAAATAAAACATGTTCATGCACTGAACCTTTCTAATCAAGCTGTTGATTTGATTGATTTAATATTGATTAATCGATTGAATGATTTGTTTAAATGGCTACATCATCAGTAGAAAATAAATCCACTTGGATTACTAATATTTTGATGGTTTTACTCTCAATGTTACACCAACATACGTTGTCTCCGGCACACATACACACATACACACATGCACACATGCACACATGCACACATACACACATGCACGCATTCACACATACACACATACATACATGCACACATACACACATACACACATACACACATACACACATGCACACATACACACATGCACACATACACACATGCACGCATCCACAGCACACATGGAAGGTGCGTCCTTAAAAGACCTCAGTTGTTAATAGGACGTTAAACAAAATAAAACCAAACAAAACTCTCAATGTTTGTTTGTATTTATACTTTTGTATATGATTATAACAACAGTTGAAGTATACAATTTGATATGAGAATTGTTTTCAGATCTTATCTATATGTATTGGGAGAGTGTCATGTCTTTGATGTATCGTACGAGCGGAAATCGTTACTTGTATTATTTATATCAGGTCATTCATATCTACCTTAACGACACATATTGCAAGGCATATGTTTCATCACTTTCAAACACTTCCAAATTATTAATGTTATCAATAAACATCAAGGCGGTTTTCGTTCATAGCTATCTAAACGGTTGAACCGGTTAGACCAGAGTTGTTCATTTATGAAATAAGGTCGGACCTAGTAATCTGATGCTGCTTACATGCTAGCCTTGACAACGCTCTACAAGGCCTGCATAAATATTTACAGGTCCACTAGTAATAATACCCGAAAATTGTACATTTAAAAATAAACAAAAAGGCCCCAATTTTGTTTTTGGCTGAGTTACTCCCTATTATTGGTTCAAATAATGATATATGTGCTTTCTGAAAGGCATTCTACTTTCTCCGTTCCTTTAGTCCTTTAATATCGATGAGTGTTGCCTTCTGGAGGCATAGAGCTATCTATATCATATATATATAAGACATTAAACCAAAAATATTCTATTTGTTGTACGTATAAATTAATCACTGACAAATTCGCACATGGTTCAAATAATTACCAAGGGGACATGTTTTGTACGCATGTGTATCTACCATTCATATATTGCCAATTCTTATTTACTCAAATGTGATGACAAGCGTCAATGCATAGCATGTCAGGAACCATTTGCATTAAACACTCGATATTAGATTGCATTGTTCTTCAACCAACGCGACGTATTTTTTATGATAATATAACAAATCTCAATACGATAAACGATAAATCGCAACAATTCTATCCTACCTAAAACTGTTGTCCTGTTCTAAAAGATGTATTTTACCATAGCCACTTTGTTTTATTTACCCTTTATTGGCCCTAAATACCTCTTCTGTGTCGGCGGTTAAGAATTCAATAATTAACTAACTATCCTTCCTTTCATTTTTGCAGCTTTCATTTCCAAGGTATTTAACTATTGAAAGAACGTGCAAAGATCTTGCTCATGATCTGCGTAAACAAAACAAAATCCCGAGAAATAAAAACTGAACACATAACAACATTTGCAAATGAATTTAAATAAAGTTTACCGTAAATTTAACACTAGTTTACCCTTACGTTAAATACTTGTAAAAGCTGTCTATTCTTTATTTTATCAGTTATATATATAGTTATTTATATTTATTTTTAAACTGATGTTCGTGGTAAATATATCCCTAGTTGTGCCCTTTTGCTTGGTCGGTATTTGGAGAAAAAACAACAAAAGAATGGTTTGTATATCTTACGTGCAATTATATTCGTGAGCTACCGCATAGGTATGGTAGTATACAGGTAATGTAAGCAATAAAAACCGGGTGTTGTACAAGCCTCGTAAGCAATACCGACAGTATGATCCAATAAGGGCACTGGATCGAAACAAACGTTCGATTGATGCACATTACTTATAATAATAGATATATGGACAAATAAGTAAAGCGACAGTACAGGCATAGGAATTTGTAAAATTTCAGGGCAATCCACCCTTTATCACGACAGAAACATGAACAGTTACATCACAACATAAAAAAACAAGGTAAACAGTTACCATGAAACAATACTACAGTAATACAATAGTAAACAACATCAGCATAGTGTACAAGGAATAACTGGTTTTCTATGTTAGGAATTTTGTGATGTAGTACCGTTCATGGTGACCAAACAGCCTATCATATCCAACATAAGTCTGATGAGTATAACATGCATTTTTGTCACTTGATACTGGTATTTAAATATATTTAAGTATAGTCACTGTGACGCAGTGTTGAATGTTAAGCATTACACCACTTATCCTGTTCCGTCTTCACACTACACAGTACCTTCACACATCATACTGCCTACTTCTTAATCAGCGCATATTGACACATTGAAATATATTATATGTGATTTCACAAATTGTATTATCACAGAATCTAGACCATCTATCTATAATTTGTTTTGTTTATAAGTATAAACACTTACCATGCTACAGCTGCGTCTCGCCTCTCTACAGGGAAGTAGTTATTGGGCAAACCCGCTGCTATGTTTGGCTGTAGTCCAAAACCATTCAGGCATGACGCTATACCCGGTTTATCTTAATACACAAAACATATGTCTGTGGGCGTGCTTCATATGTTCAGAAATTTAATCTTTTGAATATGTGTAACGTTTCGTTGACCGAACACTTCAAGTTTTGTCAGCATATCGGGTACTTCGAAAATTATGATGCAATAACAATTGTTCAAATGTTTCTGGTCTGAATTTTGAATTTTTGTAATCAAACAATCAGTCGAATAGTGATTAAGGTTCATTATATTTTTTCTAAATATGTGACGTGTTGAAAACTGGACATTACAATTATCACTTACAAGACTACCTGAGAAGCGACACACATGTATTAGTATCGCCTTTTCACATTATGAAGGTCCTCCGCTGTCTTAACAAAGTTGTGAACTTCAGTACTCAGTACTCTTGCGTCACACATTCCACCCATTGGAGTGGGTTACCAGTAAACGCTACCTTAGTTCATATAGGGATATAACGCATTTAGATGTGTTTTTTTCAGCGGGAATGTTTCCAAACTTGATTAAATTAGTATGCTGTGATGACAGTTCGATGGTACGCAAATCTAGACCTTGACACAGCCCTAGAATCCGAGAAGTGGGCCCAATTTAATATCAAATCAGCTATCAATTTCAATTTCAACAGCATGCGTCGGACCCGGATATGCTAAAATTAAATACTGCATCATTGAATGTTCCTCATGGGATTTAACATAACATCTTGATTGTCTGGATAGTCTTTTCAAATAAATTTAACACTATTTCCGTTCGTTTTTGTCTGGTTTGAACAAATCTTCAGATAAATGTAGCTCATGCAGGCACTGTAATAAAAGTACACATAATACAAGGTGTAGCAGGCGAACAATATTTTAATAGTCATGCGTTTCATTTCATCTCTTCATTTATCGGCGTGACATAGGAAGGGTAAGCTTACATGTGTTGTGTAACATCGTATGACGTTCATGCTCAGTGGTCTCTAGAAAAACGTTTTTATTTATGCTATATTTATTAAAACAACCTCCGTACTCCTCATTCCTTTTGCATCATATTGTCGTCGTTGAAAAGCGTTTTGGCAACAGAAGGTATCATAAATATAACTAACACATATCTCAGTATTATTTAAATTTGAATATTTTAACAGATAAAGTATTCATTATAATTTCAACTTATAAATGAGCTTGCTGGCAATTAGAAACTGGATTCTTTTATAGAAAATATCTAGCCGAAATTGCCATTAATCTTCCATAGTGTTGTTCGGATGTAGTGTTTCAAATTAGTACATTATAAATCACAACCCAAAAGCACAGGTATTATGACATATAATGGTAGTCCCTTTTAATACTCAGTCACTGTAGGTAGGGCGTAAGAATTGCACCTGCTGCCCCCATTACATGGTAGTAAGAGGCGACTAAACTTTGGATCTTATCTTTTCTCTTCTTTCTAAACAACATTCTTGTTCCTTATGTCTCCCTTGACAATGCCTCACTTTTGGACTATAGTTGAGCGTTCGCCCCTGTGAGGAAGGCTTTGGGTTCTGTCCCCTGGCCGAGACATACAAGAATCTGTAAAAATGGTAGTTTTTACTCCTGCTTAACGGTCAGCAATTTAGGAGTGGGACGACTGGTTCGCCCGTTGTCAGTATAATGTGACCGGGTGGGGTGTCCTGCTGGGTGTCTTCGCAGTGTTCCAGTAAGGTAGCACTATAAAATCTGTTCCGCGCTATCACAAGGAGACAAACACGAACATATCGCAGACTCACAAAACACACACACATACACTACACGCATCCATCTTGCACACAAGGGAGACCGTCCTGAAATGACCATAGCTGTTGAAAGGACGTTAAACAATACTAAACCAAACCAAAATGGATACTAAACGTATTAAAAAAAGGAACGTAAGACACACACATGTCATTGCACAATTAAAATTTAGTAATACATACGGCACGTCAATACAGCTGCCTTACCCTTCTCGAACTCCATCCTGCAGGTCGGAGATAGAGAAAAAGAATGCATCTGCTTGTAACCCACTGCATGTATCTTAAGTGGCGACTAATACGCGACCCCACCCTGCACAATTTTCTTTTGTGCCCTCTACTTGGGGACACCTTAGCTGTTAATAGGAGGTTAAACAATATAAACCAATCCAAACCTTCTAGAACTCATCGATAATGCTGATAATGCTAGGCGTCCTTTGTTATATGAACATTGAAATACGGAGAGTATTGGTTCATTTTTAATTATCAATGAGTACATTATTATGAACCATGCCACTATTGGAAGGAGATATCCGAGTCCATCAAGCTTACGGTAAACTTCAGGGACTAAGAAAGCCACCAGCAGAGCCTTCCTCCTTATATCTTGAAAGGCGATCATAACACACGCCAATGGCATTGCACTTTTGAAATATTGTAATATATATCAAAGTTTAAACAAACGAATTTTTATGATCCTTTAAAATGTGTAAGGTGATGCGAAAGAGGCCCGGTAATAAATGAGATCCGTGCCCAAAAAACGGAACATGAATAACAAAAATATTGCAGGGTAATACATGTTACAACCGATCTAGGAACAATGTTATTCACGGGTGAGTAATACTGCAAGTAGAAGTGTCCTATGTAGGCTTACCTAAACAGCCTGTATCACCCCAAATTATATATCAAACAGAAACCTGTTGTTAATCATGTGAAAACTATACCAATAATAATTAAGATAACGTTTATGTTAGCAGCATACAACCCGTTCTTTACCCTATCCGTGCAGATACGGTGAAAGAAAAGTTCTACTTAATCCCACTGCACAATCGTAGGAGGCGACTATGTGGCCCCCTGCAGAACTAGGGGAAATTGATATTAATGATTAAAATCCAACCGAATTCATTTGAGAGAAAGAGTGGACCTAATGAGGGACGAGTGTTGCTGAGACACAGAGACAATATTTGGAAATAGGTGGAAGAATAATTCTCCATGGTTGCTTTATTATCCATGTGAGCGATTCAGACCATCTTTACCTCTTATTCCGTCTTTGCGTATTGCAGAGTTATCTGCTCTTGAGAGCAGGTATTGATTGTTACGTCATTTGTTTGTGAGAGTAACGTCATCAATTTTTGAGAAAACGACGTAATTTTCTCACACAAACCAATGACGTAACAATCAATTCCTGCTCACAAGAGAAGATAACTCTGCAATATGCAAAGACGGAATTGTTGTCTTCTTTTATTTCTGTCCTCGTTCTCTTTCTGGCAGTATCACCTTAGGCATCCGTCCTCATATGATCCTGACTGTTGTGAGGACGTTTAACACAAACAAACATATATTTAAACAATAACTGGTTGTCTGGATGTAATTATTGTTGATATAATTACAAGTGGCCTCTGGCAAATCCCATAAAACCCGCTAGGGTTTTATGGTAGATATGCCAGAGGCCACTTGTAATTATATCAACAATAATTACATCCAGACAACCAGATATTTTTTATATTTACATGTTTTTCTTTTTTAAGACATATTCCTACAAAAACCATTTGCCCTGCCTTAAAATACATTTCAGGCGGCCATTTTGTTTGTTTACATATTCCTACACCTGAAACAGGCAGTTGTAATTATAGTCGAGCAGTTGTAATTATAGCCTATATAATTACACTTGCCCTCTAACACTGTTGTAATGGGATGGCGCGGGGGCAAATGTAAATATAACCCAAAAAACATCTTATAGCCAAATAAACAACAAAGACATTTACCAATGACGTCTTACTACGGTAAGCGAGCTTGGCTCATTAAACATGAGCGCAGGTAACATTCGATTTCGTGTAATACAATACTAGCCTCTGTGTACATTAACAATAGTTAAATGAAATCGGCGTTATTTATTATGGGTGCCAAGGTTGCGAAGTAGCAGTGCACTGGCAGGACTTAATAAAACTGGCCTCGAAAGTAATTACAGTTAAACAGGCAGATTACTTGGTTAGAGCCACAGTCGAGAGTTCATTGTTGGAGTATCGGTCATGTCATGTGGCGTGTTTGCTATATCCTATTGCTTAACATGTATAAAACTGTTATGTAGTTTGTGAAGTTAATTTTGTATTTATCATTTTCTTTATATAAGAAGGGGGTCTGCAATATCTATTTACTTTTAACATATTTTTCTGCTTTATGCAATGATGTCAAGGTACTATATATGTATTTGTTTTATGTTTTATAATTGAAATTAAAAAAATGTTTCCTCAAATGAGAAATATTCTATTTCTTTTTTCTCAATTTCAAAGAAATTTTAAATGACAGGTTCGTTGAAAGTTCAAGAATGCATGGATTTCTTTCAATAAATGTTTAATTAATTAAATTTTATGGCGGTAAAAACGTGGTTATGGCGGTATTACCAATTTAATTAATTAATCATTTATTGAAACATTAATTCGATTTATACTACAATTTCACTTAGTACCAGGATCCAGATGTTATAGCTATGCCGCAAAGTTAAAGTTTCCAAAACGTAGTTACAGTATTTTGGCAATAATACGGTGATCATTAACCAGCAATTTTGCACATGCATAAAGGAGCCTAATAATTAAGATATTTGAATAGTTGAAAAGTCTGTAGTTAATTGTTCGATTTTAAATTACGCCACCATTTTGCAGATAAGAATATGTGAAAATGAAAATATTATTTACCAAGTTCTAATTTATTTTCTGCATGCTAATTATCGGATTGCCTTATGCTTCAGTCTCTTCAATTCAGAAATTGATTTGCACTGTTTTTTTAATACAACCAAGTAAGAGTGTCGTGAAATGTGTCTATTTGAAAGTTGTATTTAACTTTAAGTTGAACCAACGATACTGAATAAATAGACCCTAACAATGTCGTTGAAACACCGATCATTTTATCCACCCTGTCCCCGTTGTCATCATCGTTGCAGTAGTTTTGTTGGGTCTTAGACTTTTTATGACAAAATTATGTTCATATGCCGTGTCGTAATACACAGTGTTCCTTAAGTAAGAGTCAGTTTGATCCCACGCATAGG